TAGAAAGCGGCTCTGAGGAAGGCGAAATCCGCCGAAACGTCAGCTTATTCGTGAATAAAGAACAATAACACCTCGCGTTTGCTCAACAAAAATACGAAGAATAGTTATTGAATAAATTGAGTACGTGAGATTGAGGAGCTGACGTGTGATATCTACTAACGGGTTTGCATTTCAGGTAGGAAAAGCTGTCGAAGTCGCTATTAATGCAGGCTACAAACATATCGATTGTGCGTGGATCTATGGTAATCAGGTGGAGATTGGCGAGACTCTCAAGCAATTGTTTTCAGCTGGTCACGAAGTAAATTACTGTCATTACTGATATTTTATTATTATTATTATTATTATTATTATTATTTATTACTATTAATTATCGTTATTGTTTATTAATTATTATTATTATTATTATTATTATTATTATTATTATTATTATTATCATTATTATTAATAATAGTTATTATTATCATTGTTTTTATTATTATTATCATTATTATTATTATTACTATTATTATTAATTATTATTGTGGTTGCATCTGACATAACGCCCTGCCGTAGAAATTGTAGTGGGCACTAAAGAGAAAACGTTCACATTGTGATTTCCACTACGGCCTCAGTTTAACTAGGTTGAATGCCGATTTGGGCTCCCTAGATCAGCCCCGTTGACGGGTGATTGCTGATGGCAAAAGATCAATAGAACTAGCTGGGAGACTGACGAAACGAATGACCCGCATGGTGTGGTGGTGAATGCGTTACTCCCCGGAAAGGACAGTAGCGCGTTCGTTCCCCACCATAGACACCTGCGGTCCAGAGTTTTGCAAATATCTCAGCATCATTGAAGTTATATTTCGCATTATTCCAATATCATTGTTGTTGTGTCTAACATAATACGCTGCTGTAAAAATTGAAGTGGGCAGTAAATAAAGAAGGAGTTAACATTATTACTATTGCTGTTGTTGTTACAAATATATCATTATTGTTATAACTATGCTATGTTATTAATCACCTGTCACCTGTAGTCCCGTTGACCGTCGAGTAACTCGAACGGTGGCCAGTAATTCTTCCATTTTTCCCCCTCGCGTACAAAAGTAGCCCAGTGGGTTCTGCTCGCTCTAGGGACTCGTCGAGCATCATATCTTTCTTCTTGGCTCTTCGTGAAGAAATCTGACCATCGAGTCGGTGGTCTTCTTGCAGTGCGTTTAACATCCCGAGGAATCCAATCACTAATGGCTGTTGTACATCGGTTGTCATTCATACGCATTACGCATGTTATTAATAGCTATTGTTATTATTGTTTTCATTAGTATACAAACACTGTGGTTGTAACGATATCTCCACATCGCTCCGCAGGCTCAAAATCATCATCTGCTATTCTCAGCTATGAAGAATGATTTGTTTGCTAGGATACGTTAGAGTAGATTAGGATAGATAAGAAAATCCGTGTTCTTTCAAGCACAGTTTAACAAAATATAATGAGGTATCCAGTCTAGGCTGAACCATATTTACGAGCGCAGTGCACACTATGCGTATCAATCATGCTGCGGCAGCAATCAATACGCATGACTAGTATGCGTCTGTAGATCTCTCGAGGATAGGGCGGTGTTAACATGTTTTATTACATTCAAGCATCAAACTTACCTTTGATTCAAGTATTTTGGATTGCTAAATATCATTCAACTGTGATAATTACAGAGGGAAAACATCTTCATAACGTCGAAGGTGTGGAACACCTTCCACTCAGCTCCTGCTTGTAAGGTATGCACTTGGTTTTCTTTTCTATGTCTGAGGTTTTTTCTTCTACGGCAGTGTTAAGTGGCATTAAATTTCGAAAACAGCTTTGTGGGAGTAAATGTTGTTTCTTCACGAAAATGAACACTATGCGGAAATCTTTTAGTTTTTAAGAGAGCCGTTTATTTATCTGAGTTTGGCGTTTTTCCCATTTATCTCTGTCTATTTTTCTTATTGTTTCGATGAAACTGGCACTAATGGGCGATTGTATTCCAAGTTCTTCTCTGTTTGAAATCATCGTTATTTTAGAAGCACGTAGTGGAAATCCTTGATCAACTGCAGTTGAAGTGTATCGACTTAATGCTCATTCATTGGCCATTCGGCTTTGAGGAAGGTGGCGATCCTTTTCCAAAGGTTTGCATTTATTCGACTTTTTTAGCTTACTATTCGGCTTACACTAACAGTGTTTCATCACGCATCGAAAAGTGTTTTCTCATCTTCGAGATAAATTGCTTGCCTAGTAGTCGTTTGGTCCACTCTCCTGCTCATAGAGATTCCTACTTCTCTGAAGTCTTCTGCTGAATAAATTTATTTTCTTATACATCCAGATTGCCTACCTCTGCAAATATGTGGTTCCTAAAACGATTGCCATCTAAATGGCATCCTATTGGTTTGACAGGTTCATCCAGTAGAAACACTGGACCCTTGGAATCTTGGAATTGATATGAAGTTTTTAGATACCGGGCACTGACAATACGAAGCCTTCAAGTGAAGATTACGTGACAACCTGGAAAGTGCTGGAGGATTTTGTCAAAGAGGGCAAGGTAGGCGAAATAAGGAGTGGGTCGCGGTAAGACCATTAATAATGCGGTAGCAGTAAGAATAACGGCACTGGCAATGCTAATAATGATTACTGCTCTGGCAAGCACACACAGCGGGAAGTTTAACTGGTTTTTCCGAGATAAAAATGAATTCAGCTAGGAGAAAAGGAAAACTCAGAGAGAGGATTGGTGGGATGTCTCTTTAATGACTAAATGGAATAGAAAAGCGGTACAAGTAGAAGTCTTTTAAGAGATTTCCAACAACTTCTTTTGAAGGAAAAGTGTAAATTGTATGTTTACAGATTCGAAGCATTGGCATTTCGAATTTCAACCACAAGCAAATCGAGCGGTTAATCGCCAACAGCACTATAAAGCCGTCTGTTCTACAGGTGATGACAGCGTTAGGATAGAATCTATCATTCGACTGAACTCTATTATCGATATTATAGAGCTCTAAAATGACCAAGCATTACCTAACCATATCCATTTGCCCCACAATTTACCAGATTGGCAAGATTTCTTTACCCTTAGTGCGTAAGGCCTCGCTAGAGTTCCCCTTGTCAAGAGCTTGTAACCGTGTGCTGTTCATAGGAAGGCAGTGGTTCGTGATATTGGTTCACCGTAAAGTGGGTTTGCACATGGTAGAAATATGAAATCTGTTGTCTGCTTTGGAAACCAGGTTAGAGATGGAACTCTGCTGTATATCGCAGTTTGGCATCCAGAAACACTCTGCAGCCCCAGTAGTATAACAGTTGGAGTGAGAAGTTGGCACCAGTAGTATAGGATCTGGGATAGGAACTGTTGTTGGGACGGCTCGTTGACATAGGAATACCAAGTAGTTAGGACAATTCGGTCGGAATTAGCTGCTCGTCTTTGTGTACGCCACGAGGGACATCTTGTGACTAGCAGTCACAATGCTGGGCACCTCAAACTTGGGTAATTAGACCGTTTATTATAATTATACAACAATCATAACAATACAACTCTACAATTAATGCAACAATGATACGGGTAATGAATAGGCGCAGCCTGATCACTGGTGTTCAGGTTGCTTATGAGTGAAGAGATTGGCTATGACTTTTACCACATGAGATGGATGTGAGGCACGGATGCGGTGACTTGGGCAGCATTGCTGTGAGATGAGCTAGCTAACCGTGGAGCCGTCTATATACCTTTACGCTGGGCGGAGTCAGATTACAGTAGGCGGAGTCGGGCTACAGTAGGCAGAAAGACGGGTGCTGGAAACATTTCTCAAGCATTGCGCTATCTGATAGGGCGATATTCAAAGCCTAGGACCGTAAGTGCAGATATTTTACGAGATAGGCGCCAGCGAAATGTTAGACATACGGCTATCAGTTCGTCATGGAGAGAAGGTCATGGGAGTAGCATTTGAAATGTTTGGAAAGGTTATCTGATCGTCATGGAGAGAAGGTTATGGGAGAAGCATTTGAAATGTTTGGAAAGGTTTGAATTGTTTTACATAGAGAACATTCCAATATTCGTGAAGAATATTCTCTATAATTGTAGGGGATAACTCTTTGCTGAAACAACAATTGAAAACAATATTCTTGTGATCCATTAATAAAGTGAACGTTTTCGATCGAGTTGCTTTCCTCCGTCCATAGTCGGACCAATTTTGTGCCATAATCTCTTTAGAGAGTATTTTAGTGTTATTCAGATCGAGATGCATCCATACCTGCAACAGAAGAAGTTGCGAGCGTTTTGCAAAGAAAAGGGAATTGCAGTAACGGCCTACAGGTAAACCTAAACATTGCACTTATAATCACAATTTTAGCTTATTATTTACTGCGTACTCCTTTTAACAGCAGGGTATATTGCGAAATATAACTTCAATGATGCTTATTTGCAAAACTCCGGGCCGCAAGTGTCTACGGTGGGGAACGAACGCGCTATTGTTCTTTTCGGGGGGTAACGCGTTCACCACCACATCATTCGGTTCCTTCGTTTCGCCTGTCTCTCAGTTAGTCTGTCTGAGTTCGTTTGTTTTAACTGTTTAACCGGGTTCGTCGCCGGTTTGGGCTCCTCAGATCAATCCCGATAACTAGTGATTGCTGATGGCAAAAGATCGATAGAACTGGCTGAGAGACAGGCGAAACGAAGGATCCGCATGGTATGGTGGTGAACGCGTTACTCTCCGGAAAGGACAATAGCGCGTTCGTTTGCCGCCCCAGACACCTGCTGTCCGGAGTTTTGCAAATATCTCAGTATCATTGAAGATTTATTTCACTTATAATTTCACCTCTATGAAATCTCGTCGCAATCACTTTTGAACTCTGTGTCACCTAGTTATCATAGGAGTTAAGTCGACTTTTGTATTGCGGTTAGGTCTGCAGTAAGTGATATTAAAAGCATAAAAGGATAAAGCTCTTGGCGTTGACCAATCCCTGAGCGATGCGTCCTGCATTCGACTTCATTAAGCGTCTTTTGGAGGTGATTAAATGCATATCTAGCCTTTACGATGACTCGCAGTGGCCTACCGATGTATCGAGCCAGTGCTGCTCTGCTCCCAGCCAAGTCTGGTACCAATTTTCCGACCCCGGAGAGATGATAGGCTTGGTGGGCCATGGGCGCGAGGATCGATTCCACGTGTGTTGCAGGGCGCCTCCGACCACTGCGCCACACTCGCCCTTGAGTGATATTAGTAGGAACTAATTCTCTCTCAGTTCATTAATAGTCAGCAATTATCTGTGCATAAAGTAATACTCATAGTGTTGACTAAATCTGATAGATGTTTTCATCCGTATTCAAAATCTACTTTTGAATTCGTTGTGGCCGTGTTTTTGGGTTCGTTCTTAGCGACGATCTGAGAGAGGAAAGATGTGTTTAAGAGCATTGTGCTTCATAGTTCTTACAAAGGTTAGTGTAGCTTTGTATCATTGCCTTCTTTAGAAGCGGTTGAAATCAGCTAGGGTTTAATTGAAATACTACTGTAGGCGACTGCTGGTAGAGTACTGCACTAGCAGTGTTCGCCAATACCTCATCATAACAAATCGTGTGTGACATGGTCCACTCCCGGAACGATTGCTTCGTTTTCTAACTGAGCACTTTTCCTTCATTGTAGTGGCCTAGTAGCCTTTTCCATAGGGTACCAGATCGCCCTCACAGAGGTAATCGCGGCTCTTATGGATTCGATACAGTTGATGCGACTTCCTCCAGGATAGAGGTTACTTCTGTGATAGGTTGGCTCAGCAATGTATTTTTAAAGCGATATACCAATTCACTAGCATTAACTACGAGATTTTTAACACTGCACGACAACATATATTGTGCAAATGTTGGGATTATGGCATTCGATTCATTTCCTTGCATCCCTAGTTCGCATAGTTTTTAGCTCTTGTGTATGTTTTCGGATGGTGCTTAAGGTTTTTTGGTTCCCTTTGTGAATGTCGTTAAGCATTGGCTAGGAATATTCTTCTTGGGATATTGTGGTAGACGTGCCAGGGCATTCCCAGATCTTCTTCACAAACAGTCGCTAACGTTTCTGAATTTGAAGGGGCAAGTTGATCCAATTCAGGGCTTACAAAAATTTCCTAAACGCATTGGGATGAAAAGCATTACTGGCTGGGGTAAGGTTCAACCAGTGCTTTACGCATATAAGTTAGTCACTACAGTCATAATTTGTCCAAGGAAAATGCTAAAGGGAAACTTGAGAGGGTCATCATCAATTACTACACGGTTGTTTTCATTCTGGCCTATTTAGTTCTCTTGGCAATCCTGGCTCAGCATATTTTCGTAAACCTGGTGATCCTAATATTCTAACCGATCCCGTTGTGACGAAAATCGCTGCGGCACATAGAAAGGTACGGCCTTATACACATTATGCTTCCTTACAACTTACTTTACAAGTTAATAATTCGAATATTTCCACCTATGGCTACGGCAGGAGAAATGTTGAGAGGGATATTAGAAATGCTTTGTAAAGTTTTTGAATACGGTATGTTGTAGAACGGATGTTATCCAATGGCTGCTTTTTTCTCATTTTTATTTTTTCTACAATATTTGTCACGGGGAATTGTTTGTGTTCCCCGGATGTGAAAATGCAAAGTTATTACCCGCGATTGATGGATTTCAGACACCAGCTCAGGTTGCACTTCGTTGGGCCGTGCAACAGAACGTAATTGTCATTCCGAAATCGACATCAGAAAGTGAGAAACTCTATCCTTTTAGTTTTCAACCATTCTTGCAATAACTTTTAGAGCTGTTTGCTCCATTAACAGAGGCGTTTCGAACAATGTGAGTCTTACATGGCCACGTCGAGCGGGATTTTGTGGGTTGTCGGGAATTCTTCAATCCTCCTACTGCTCCAAGAAAACCGCTGTATTAGTATTTAGTATTTCTCGAAAAAACAACACATGAGCTAAAGAATTCATAGCTTCCCACAGATGTAATGAAAAAATTAAGGAAATTTTTCCGAAGTATTTTCAGGCAATAAAACACCTCTTCACTTTCGTTGAAGTTTTTTGGATGCTTTTGTTGGAAAAAAAGGTTAAAACCTAGAACCGAAGTCACTTATCCCTTTTTCGATAGCAGCATGGTGTCTCACATGCCAAGGAATTCGAGCAACAATAATGCTGACTTTTGTATTTTTTCGAAGCTTCCAAATTTTGAATTTGTGGGATACCTAAAATTCCTTGGTTGGCAAAGCAGGTCAGTATAGATGACGTTAGAAGCTCGTAGAAATCTAATCTGAACAGCAACATGTACTCATTGCAGATGTCAGTGATTTTTAAGGTTTAATTTTTCGGCCAGATTTTAGTTGCTATTCATCTGAGGTAAGGTTTAATCTTTTAGAGCGAATCAAAGAGAACGCAGCTGTGTTCGACTTCCAGCTGACCGAAGCCGAAATGAAGGAGATCGACGGGCTCGACCGCGGATGGCGTATCGTCGACCTCAGTGCTAGCTGTTCCGATCATCCTCATTTCCCACTTTTGGAGGAATATTAAGCTGTCGTGGTGTTCATTGATATTGTTACTACTTGCTTAGTCTAATACATGTTGAATTGTTTAACTTTGTGCTATGTCTATTTTTGTTTGTATGTGTCAGCAAAATCATGTTCGGCTTTGAAGGTACCGTTATTCAAAAACTCGAAATGGAGGGATAGAGGAAAAGAAAAAGAGAAAACGAAGATGGGCAATCAAAGGTCATTGTTAACACTCTCACGACGAATGGCACATATTGGTGTCATAGCAGTTCTCCGGTAGTGGGCGGTGTGATACCTATGTCATCATATTTTTCCGATGGTTTATTTTGACTCACAGAAATTTTTTCTAGACTTCATGTAATCAGTCGATAGATTATCCAACATGGATGCTGTCGCGGGCGTCGCTTATGGGTGGATTTGCTGTTAATAATAAACGAGCAGATCACAAGAAGTTGCCCAGAGGGTTTCCAACCAAAAGAAGAAAGCGTAACATCTACGCTGGTGCGCATCTCCAGTTAAAAAGTCTAAAAACTCATTTGTACCTGTCACGCAACGCTTACTTATAATTACTTTGTGGAAGAGGACTATTGGTGTCTCTGAGCAAAGATTTGTTGACCTTAGGACCTATGCGAAGAACTTCGCTGTAGGCATCATACATCTGTTTTTGCTTTTCCTCGCTTGATCTTGCTTTGATGTTATAACAGGAATTGTTTCATCATGGACTCCCAAATAATACCTTAAAGAATTCCACAATGAAGTTACAAAGCCATGGGAGATTTGTGGAACAATCGCAATGATCTGCAAAGATTGAAATGCATGCGTAGTAGGGAATAACGTAAGTTTTTAAAATTTAAAGCAAAACTGCAAGAAATAAAACCATCAGGATATCTACGATACAATATAAATGTGATACCTGCGACATACAGGACAGCGGCACCTAACCTTGTGTAACTTCGTGTAGAGAACGATATATCAATATCACAATGTTAACATTTTATTCGCCGTCTTCTACAATTTTCACGGCGGGTTATGATGTGAAATACCACCATAGCGATGCTGAGCTGTTCGCAAAACTTGGACTTGGGCCAAACTGAACCACAATTACCCTTTCCGGGGTCACGCGTATTACACACTGCACCACTAAGGAACTTGTTTAGCGTTTCTCTCAGCTAGTCTTTTACACTATGCTGCCATCAGTAAACATCCATCATCGGGATTGATCTATGGGAGCAAAAATCAGCATTGAACCCAGTTAAACTGAGGCTGTAGTCGAAATCACAATGTTAACCTTTAATTTATTGCCTACTGCATTTTTTTTCAATACCGCTGACAGGTGATTGTTGATGGGAGTGTTAGGTAAAAAACTAACTGAGAGAAACTCCAAGCAAGGGCTTCAGTGGTGCAGCGAGTAATACGGATACCCCCAGAAGGGGTAATCGCAGTTAGCTCTGGCAGGGTGTCCAAGTTTTGTAAATATCTCAACATCGTTGTTTAAATATATCGATAGTTCAAGCCAACGTTAGTTGAAAGTGGGTTTTCTAACGTAAATATACACATATAAAAGGTGAAGGATAAAGCTCACGGCGTTGACCAATCTCTGAGAGATGTGCCAAGCATTCGACTTCATTAAGAATCGATTGGAGGTGATTGAATTCATGTCTCGTCTTTACAATGACTCGTGGTGCCCTGCTGATGTATCGAGTCAGGCGCTGCTACCCTACCAGACAAGTCCAGTACCAATTTGCAGACCCCGGAGCGATGGAAGGCTTGTTGGGCCATCGGGAAGGGAATCGATTCCACCTGTGTGTTGCGTTGGCGCCTACAACCACTGTGCCACACACGCCTTACAACGCAGTGCGTCGTTTTCTTGTTCAGCAGTGGCGAGGTTATTATACAGCATACATTTACTTTCATAGGAAAGAATACAATACAACAGTAGCTGACGTTCCGGTTGCATCGTCTTCTTCAGAGCCTGGTAGGGTATACTGATATACAGTTTACTAGGCCAAACGCTTCACTAACACATACCAAAAGGCAAAAAACTGTATTGTTGATTTCGCATAAATGAAAAAAGTTTTATCTCTCTAGGATTCCATGGGAAAATAGAGTCGAAGCAATTTTCGTTGAGATACCATCGTTTTCAAGAACATCGACACACTTAACTCGGCTAGCACGGCTTTCTCAAATCAAACGTTTTCTAACTTTTCTACTTGTTATTTTGATTTTTGCTATTTGGTTTTCAGTTTATTCAACCGAACAGTTGTGATGTTGTGACGTTGAGTTCACAAATTTATATGAATGCCAAGTCGTTGGGAATACTAGTCCTTGTAGCTGCCATGCGGGTCTTTTGTGTGTAAGTCGTTGAGTCGAACGCCTTGATACACTGGGTACCAATTTGCGACCTCGGAGGAATGAAAGGCTTGGTGAGCCACGGGCGCGGGGATGTATCCCATGTTTGTGTTGCAGGGCGCCTCGGACCACTGCACCACGCGCGCCCTTTATGACATTGTTAAACCGTTAAAAGGAAGCAAAAGAAAAATTTCGAGAAAAAGACTAGGATAGCGGTTAGTGATGCCGTCGTTCGGGAAGTAAGGGTGCTGGTTTGACGTCTCTCCAACGGTCTTCCACAGTCTACATGGGAATGCCCTAATCTGGCTATCTCCAAGATTACAAGGAAAATCGACTCGAGCCGCATTCCACGACATTGATAAAAAAGACAAAATCGTCAAGCAGCAGCGCAACCAACGAGAAAAATTTCCGAAGACCATTCTGGACGATGTATGCGAGGAAAACGAATCTAATCTAGGAAGTGCTGAGGTACGCACAGTAGATGTGATGAGTGGCCATGTAAAAACTTAATATTTCGTCTTATATATATATATATACATATATATACGCTAATGTAAATTAATGTGCATAAATACATATTTGGAATGTTCCAGCAACGTCTATCTCCCGAATCCCCTAGCTACGCCTACCTCCCTAATACAGAGGTCTTACGCCGGTTAGTTGCGAAGCAGCGTGATGCGCATACAGGTGGCGGAAAGCGGTTTCGTCGCGGACCAAATGCGATATTTCTTTCCCTGAAAACTAGGTAGGTCCAAGAGATCGACTTCCTTTTCTGCTAGGCAAATTTGGCACATAGTTTCTGTTTTTACGAAGCGTATTCATTCATGCGTGTGTGGGTGCGTCCTCGTTTATGCGGATTGTATTCTACGAGTCAGTTCGGCCAAAAGCTTAAAATCAAGTGATAGGGAATCATACGGAAGGCGGTTAGGAGTCGCTTCCAGCAAATAAGCACCCCTGTCTACTCTGGAAAAGACTGGCAAGCATATCAGCCACCACATTTTGGGTTCAGCAAGCTATACGTGGGTAATACTAAGCCCAGTAGGGTAAACGAGCCCCTTTCTTCTGGCGCCGTCAGACTCCCGATAGGACAGCGATGGGTAGGACGAGTACGGATAAGCTGCTGATGTTTAAGAACATTCTAGGCTGTTTAAATCGAAAAGGACCAGGATATCGTTTTATACATACAATGCACGCACGCTCGCACCTTAGTCTTCAAGAAAGGGCTTGGATCACGGAGGCAAAAACGATAAGACAAGACGTTATCGATCTGGCTAAGAAGAGGAGATGCCACTCTTTCAACGTCGTCTATGATAATGGAGTACAACTGTTTCTCGGAACATGAAACTATAGAGGACTCGGCAGTGACGACATTTTCGTCAATATCAGTTTGGTCGTAAACATCGGCTCATTCGAACAATTTACAATCCGAATTGGACGTTTACTATTGAAGAGATGTGGATCAATATCGTCTTTGGCAATCTTCGTCACTTACTCACCGGCATCAAACTATGACGAGGAAGAAGTCGAAGCGCTCTGTATGGACTTCGAGAAGTTCTACAGAGGAGACCATAAATTCATGATGCGGGAGAGTGTCTGAAGAACGTCGCATTGGTACCAAGAGATTGCAAATGAACGACTAGGCTAAGTGGCTGTCTGAGTTTATTGCGATGGCTCAGACTATAGTAACTCGGACTCAGACTCAGATTAGTAAGACTATAGTAACTCGTAACTCCAGAAGCCCCATTCCCAACACTGGATGTGAGAGTCTTCCAGTGAAAAATACGATAAGGGAAAAGATCAAATAATAGCAAATTGAAGGTTTTGAATAACCGGTGCTGCTGTTGTCACAGAATTCTACACGGAATCGGACCATCGCCTCTTTCGTGCAAGAACTAATTTCTCAAGAGAAAACCGATAAATTCGGAAAACCAAATCCCACAACCAACATAAACTGGGACTTATTCAATTCATTAGTCGGCTGTTGGGAAGATGCCGTTCTCGACAACACCGAACGAGAAGTACGACCGGCTCATTCAACACCTTCTCGTTAGCCGCCTTGAAAACTGAGAGTTCGAAAGTTATCAGGAGACCAGAAGCATTCGAGCTCATAGTCAGAGCTGTAAGCAACCGCCAACTCATATCTGAGCTTGAAAAACAATGCAAACCGGCAATTAAGGAAGATCTTAAAGAGAGAAGAGCAGCAGTTATGGTCGAAGCTGCAGAGGCCGGGAAAAGCATTCGGAAAGTTGATCGAAACTTCGCCAAATGAAAAACCAAGATGATTGCACTCCGTCACTCAAACTAAACAGTTATAACTTCCAAAAGGTAGTGGAAAAAAGAATTTACAGCTGTTACTCAAATCTATTTAGTAGCTGTCTCCTCCTACGCTTATGTGAAATATAGGAGGATGAATACATCGTGCCACTTATTCTCCCTTTCGAAATCCGATTTGTAATTTCGTGCAAAGAATCGAACAATATTAGGTTTGGACAGGATAAGATTTGAAGAACTGGAGGATCTTCCGCTAGTCCTCATAAATACATGTCCGGGTCTTCACAAGTTACCTCCAGGGATGCAATGTCCCTACTTAGTGGAAGAACAGAAGGACCGTGCTATTTTCGAGAAGACTCACCTCGACGATATCGGCAGCTATCGCCCAATATGCTTGCCTTC